ATATGAAGGTCACTGGTCACTTGATGGATCTAAAGCCTATGGTCATCTGCCTGTTAGCTCAGTTCCTGCATCCACCAACTCAGGTAAAATGTAGTCGACATTCTCAAACATGTTCCCTGTGACGTTTCTCAGAAAGATGGTCTATCAGAGCCACATCACTGGAAACTGTTGTCTACTTGCACTGATAAGAGAAGCTCAGACACAATCATACAGTTCAATAAAATGTGATCAAACTGAAGTGCATGACACCATTTATCAAGATTAACAACAGAGAGAGACTTTTGTAAGTAGACTCCAGAAACATGACATGCATCTTTAAATAATGTCGCTCAGTAGAGTGTATGCCTCCAACACGGCTCAAGTCCCCTTAAATGTAATCATGCCTCACCAAATTTAACACACTCATATATATCAGTCCATATTCCTGCTTATTTTCATCAACATTTATACATTATTCCTGAGGAAATCTGCAAAAAAGTCAATAAAAAAAACAAAAACATACACAATGTTAAAGGAAGAGATTGACCCTTGTTCAGGATCCACGCCAAAATGCAATAGATTTCATCCTTCCACCTTGGTGGGGTTGACCAGTGAAGGTAGAAAATAGGACAAAACCCCACAGAGTCTATAGACTCATGGAAGAGTTAAACCAGCAGGAGGATGAAGCTCTCGGAACATGCTGGAGGTGGCTGTATTGATGGCAGGCTGGATGGTGGTTTGATAGTCGGTTTGAAAGACAGAATATCAGGATACTAGTTATAGTGTGTCCACTGTTTATTTAATGGATATCACTGACAGGCTCACAGTCGGCAGATAGAAAAATCGGTTAACATGACTACATTGAAAATCAAATGCAGTGGTGAAGGTGATAGTGAGAAAAACAAATTGAATATAGGAGAAAGACCTTCCATTTAACTTTTGCCAGAGCTTCAGAAGCTGTAGATGGCATGTATCCAAGACAATGAGCTAAAACAGGCTAAAAGGAGCAGTATGGAGGAGCGGAGTTGGCTGATGATTGTTTGTTTTCAGCACACAAGCAAGAACTTCACATTATATATTGTATAGTCCTTTAATTTATTATCCATGACAAAGAAATGTATTAATCTGGTTCAAAGCAGACTTTACGAAAGGCTTCACACACATACAGTACAGTTTGATCAGTCCTGAGACCTGACAGGGAATCAATTAAGATAAGGCAAAAGGATGACTGAGGCTTTTATAGATAAGACGTATTACTCAATATGTTACATGACAACAGAAGTCTTACTCATCAAGGGTACTTCTCAGAACGCCCAGTCTTCACTTCAATCTGCTCATTTCGCAAGACAGCACTTCTCAGTAAGGCTGAGACTCTGGTTAGTTAAGACGTGAACCTGACAGCGAGTCATGTATCTTGTCAGTTTGATGAACCCAATGAATGACAAACCAGAGCGAGGGTGAGAGGAAGGTAAGAGGTTTTTCAAAATGGACCAGGTAGGAAAATCTATTTTTCCTCCTTGTGCATCCATCTCTATGCTCCCTATTCCTGCTACGGAAGGTTATCACTTAACCAGTGAACATTTTGATCAATAATACATTTGCTCGCACTGCTGAGACAGGTATAATGGTCCTGATATGTCAAGATTTAAAACAATTAACGTAATTTACGTTGAACATTAGCTATGCATGGATCCATCAGTATCATGCTGAGAAGTGAATTTGCCACAGGAAGCAAGATGAGAAATATGCATATGCAAATATAGTGAAATAGCTAGTTCAGAGCCTGTAGTCAGACATGGATATCATCTTGTCAAGTAATGACGTTCAATTTAACCAATTTATGAGAAGGTAGCTGTATATGGTCTGGATGCTGACTGAGCTTTCTTCTTAATCTAGCACCGGGTCTCATCTCAGTACATTATTGATAGACTCAACTGTAAATTAAAATTCTTCTTAATTTCCTAAATGTAAAAAGATTACGAGTCTACAGCCAAGCTAGTTCTCAAGCTATACATAACAATGCTAATATACATCTTGGTTTAGCAGGTAAGCACGCTAATACTTGCTAATTAGCATTCAACACACAAAGTACAGCTGACGGTGAAGATTTGTATTTGGTCATAAACCAAAGTATTGGACAAATTAAAATTTTGTCCAATGATGACACCACATGAAATGTCAGGGATTCACTAAATCAGCACCATTCGTTCTGAGTAGGACATAAATGTCTTCAACCAAATTTCATGGTAATCAATCCAACAGTTGCTCAACCCAAAACCATGAATGTCAACTTGCGGTGGTGCATCATGAACTGTTCGGATTCTTGGTTAAGGACTGCTGCACACTAGAGGATTTTCAACTCTTGACTGAATTTCAAAATGTGGTAGACCACAGACATAATGACAGATTAACCGATTTTTAATCTTACACTCTTCAGACCACACACTGAACAATGTGACCAGAACATCTGACCACACACTTGCCAAAGGCGTATACATTTTGCAGCGCAAGCTGTAGCTGACGAGGAAATGTATTGTTGTTTTTAGATTCAAGCTTCAAGATTCAAGGGTTTATTGTCATATGCACAACAATTACATTGAGCAGTTACTGGCAATGAAATGCTTGAGTCCCAGGCTCCCCTCTAACCATGCTCAGAAATGACACTCTGAACCTGGTGGTGCGGGCCCGGATGCTGCAGTACCTTCGGCCAGATGGCAGTGGGCAGAACAGTTTATGGTTTGGGTGATCGGGCTCTTTAATGATCCAGTTGCTCTTCTTCCTACACCGCTGAGTGTAGAGGTCCTCCATGGATGGCAGCTCCATGTTAATGCACTGAGCAGACTTCACCACCCTGTGTAGAGCCTTGCGGTTCAGGGCGGTGCAGCTGCCATACCAGGCGGTGATGCAGCCAGTCAGGATACTATTGATGTGAACCCAGAGGAACCTGAAGCTGCTGACTCTCTCCACCATAGTCCCGTTGATGGAGAGGGGTGTGTGTTTTACTCCTTGCCTCTTCCTGTTGTCCATGATCAGCTCCTTTGTTTTGCTGATGTTGAGATGGCGGTTGTTGTCCGGGCACCAAGATGTCAGGGCTCTGACCTTCTCTCTATAGGCCATCTCATCATCGCCAGTGATCAGGCCTATGATGGTAGTGTCATCAGCCAAATTTAATGATGGTGTTAAAGATTTGGGTGGCCACACAGTAATGCGTGAACAGGGAGTACAGGAGAGGACTGAGCACACAGCCCTGGGGGGTGCCGGTGTTGAGAGTCAGGGTGGTGGATGTGGTGCTGCCTATCCGCACAGCCTGGGGTCTGCCCGTCAGGAAGTTCAGTATCCAGTATATGTTCAGTATTAGGGCGGTGTTGAGCCCAAGGTCTCTGAGTTCTATTGCAGGTATCTGTCGGAGCTGATTATCTTATCGGAGGAGTTGACTTAAATACAAACTATAAGAACTACAAAATAAAACACTGAACTAAAACAGTTAATATTGACATAGACAGGGTAAAAATCTCGGTGGGCAAGCAAAAAGAAACTTAGGGCATTGTCACACCTGAAGTCTAGACCAAATTCAGAATCAAACGTCATGTCTTCACCAATGTGGACTTCATCTCCCTTTAATTGATTTGTTTATAGAGCGTTAGGGGTTAGGGTT